TTTGGAGCCACCATGTGGCTGCTGGGAATCGAACTCAAGACCTCTGGAAGAGCAGCGAGTGCTCTTAACCTCTGAGCCATTTCTCCAGCCCTGTAACACACATTTGACAGGGTTAATATCAGAAGTATAAGCGCTGGAGAGACAGCTCAGTGCTTGCAATTGCTGGCTGCTTCTCCAGAGGACCTGGGTGCAAATCCACATGGATGCTCACAACTGTCTGTAACTCCAGTTCCAGGGGATCTGACACATTCTTCTGGCCTCCAAGGCACTCAGACACATGAGGCATTCAGTCAAACAGACACATGAATAAAACTAAAAAAAAAAAAAAATCTTAAAAACAAAACAGGCTCTCCTCACTTGGTGGATTGAGGTGAGCCACCCTAGGATGGCACATTCAACTGAATGTCACTTACTGTAGAAATCATCTAACAGCCCACACTGTTCAGGAAACCCATCTACAGGTAAAAACAGGAGAGTTCATACCCATTGGAAGGCTCCTATCAAAGAAAATACAGTAAATGCCAGTGTGGGAAAAGTATAAGAGCTGTGCCCTGCTGCTGTCAATGTAAAATGCTACAGCTATGGGCTGGAGAGATGGCTCAGTGGTTCCCGATTCTCTAACACCTACATCAGGTGGCCCACAGCCTCCTGTAACTCCAGTTCCAAGGGATCCGCATGTACGTGGTACACATACATAGATACACTCATAAAATAAACAGACACATCTTGAAAAAAAAAATGACATAGTTACTATGGAAAACAACCTGAAGGCTCCCCAAAAAATTAAAAAGAGAGTTACCATACACCCACCTTTACCACTCTGGATCTATCTCTAAAGGGGCTGGGAGGAATATTGATATTCTTATGTGTGTTTACTAAAGTCACGAGGCAGAAGCAACCCAAACGCCCATCACTGGGAAACACATGATAGCCAAGGAGGAAATGTGACCTAAAACCAAGAGCTAAAAATCCAGACCCAATCTGCCCCACTGCCAGCCTTCATAAATGTTACCTTAGTGTGAAATACAATCACATCCAAGCTAACACAATCAAAAATAGATTTACTCTCTGGCCCCTTGTAGAAAAGGTTTGTTGACCCTTGAAACGGGCAGAATGCACAAGGCATCTTACTCATGGAAACTGACAACCCCATCTGTTCTGATGGAACCCATTATATCCTGTTGCCCACTGCGGTACAGTCCCTAGGAGAGGTCTGGGACCTGGAACTCAGGAGGAGGGAGTGAGCACAGGGCTAAGGGGTCAGGTACAGGGGCGGGCCCACAGGCCAGGGTGAGCATTCCCAAGTTACTACAAGGGCAATGAGTCACTGAGACTTTCTGGAATCCTCCTCCGGGGAAACAGAATAAGGAAAACGAACCCTCAGGGGCCACCTTCTCGGCACAATGTTAAGCACATAGCCGGGTTGACCTAACACAGTCCCCACAAATGCTCACCTGGAGAAAGCACCATGTCCCTTCACAGCCACCACCCCAGAACCTCGGCTAGCGGCCAAGTTTCCAAAGAAACTCTGAGGCAAGGAAGAGAAACTTTGACCTAGGTGCATACCTGTAATCTGGCGCCTGGGGAGAGGAGGCAAGAGGAGAGCGAGCTCTACGTCTGTTTGGGCTA